GAGGCCAGCCTGGTCTACAGAGTGAGTTCAGGACAGGGCTCCAAAGCTATGGAGAAACCCTGTCTCAAAAAAAAAACAAAAAACAAACAAACAAAAAAAGAAATTGTGTGCTGTTCAACCCCATACCTTTGTGTTTCTACCCATATACACACACATACACAAACGTTTCATAGACTTTTAGTATACACATGTACCTATTTTATATATTTAATAAGTGGTTATAGGGGAAATGCCAGCAATCAAGACTCCCGGGTTGTTGACTTGCATTTCTCATAGGGAGGGACAACTCTTCTCAGAGAGTTGTCTGTATGTGTCCCTGCATATGTGTCCCCTAATCCTGTGCCTCCCCCACCCAGCCCACTCCCACATGTGGGCAGGAAACAGTTTTGATGGTTGGGTGGGCCAAAGAGGGGTTTTCCCTCCTTTTCCCTTTTGCTACTGACAAGCAGTATTTATCTACTTTATTATATGGGGTCAGGGACATAAGGGACAGCTGTGTTCAGCTACAGCTCTGCTTTCTGCCCTTCCGGAGGAGCAGAGCATCTTGTGCTTCTGGAGCCCCGCTCTCCTCATCTCGTGATTCTGCTTTGGGTTTCTCTTTTTCCTGTTCACACTGAGGGCCTTTTTGTGTATTGCAGTTCATGGACGCATCTTGTGGTTCTTGGCATTCCTGAGCAGTGATGTGGGCAGAAATTCCCAGACCCTGGTTCTATGAGCATGGAGCCGCATACCGTGGATGTTGCAGATCCCAGCACCCAATTGTCCTTAGGGGCCCGAGACCCACATGTCACACTGACAGGTCCCACCCGGAATGAGAGCCTAGGAACATACTGGGCTGGGAATGTCATTCTGTCTGTATTGCTCTGGAAGCACCTGAAAGGCAGAATATGCTAAGCTCAGAGCTGAAAGTACTGCAGGGCCCTATTTTTATTATCTGGTCTTTGAAATCGATTAACAGTCAGGTTTTGATCAGCCTGCCATGTTTCAAGAGTTCAGATCCTTTAGCTTTGATGTGACTCTTTCTGCAAATTGAAGCATTCCATCTTACCAGACACCTTCCTGCAGATCAGCTACTTCCACCATTTGCTGGCCCAGCTCTTCCCAACCGCTTGCTTCCTCAGTGGCTCTCACAAGAGAGGACATCCTTGTCTGTACTGAGAACTCTAGAGTCCATGCCTAGCTGGGTCTCAGTATGCAGTGTCCACCTGGCTGGGGTTTGTTCTGAAGGAGATACTAAACAGTGAATGACAAATGCTTGTGAGGGGCCCAGGAAAAGCCATGAGCAGGCTTCCCAGAGTCTCCCTCGAAGGGATCCCCAGCTCCAAGTGTGAGAACACCTGTGATGGATGTATCCTCTGCCAGGAAATTCATTAGACCTGGGACCCAGCATGCTTACCAGAGGCTGCACAGGCAGACATCAGTGCCTAGTAGGTGTCAACGATGTAAATTCCTGATGGTGGAAGGTGGATATTGAGAATAAACCATGTCACACAGCCCAGCCTAAGAACACTTGTCTCACTGTAGGCCTGTGCCTGTCAAGCTCCTGGCACCAGCAATGGGTCATGCTCAGGGCAGGCTCTACTGAGGGCAGCAGCAGGTCATATGGGCAACTCTGGGCAGTGGGTTTGGACCTCTCTCCATGGGTAACTTCTAGGTTAACTTCTAGGTTGGTGTTGAAACATCTTGCTCCCTTACAGAATACAGCCTCCTCCCCCTGCTGCTTTAGTTCTAAGTTGTGTGCAAGACACTACTGAGGCGTCATCACTGAAGCTGGCACAAGCTGGCAGTGGTTGTCATGCCACTAATATGTTTCCTGTCAGGCAATGGGAGGTGTAGGTTTTGTTTGTTTGTTTGTTTTCTTTTCTTTTTTCTGTGAGTTTTCAAGAAAGGGTTTTCTCTAATACAGAGCAATATGCTTGGAGCCTGCCTGGAACTAGCTCTGTAGACTGTCTGGCCTCGAACTCACATGAGATCTGCCTGCTGCTGCCTCCCCAAGTGCTGGGCTAAAGGCGTGTACCACCACTGCCTGGTTTGATTGTTTTGTTGCTAAGCCTAGCTGGGTTCTTGTACTTGATAAGGGAATATAAGAGTCTGATTTTAGCTTACGCTGAACTGTATTAATTTGCCTCAGTGTTTGTCTTCTAGCTTAAAGCTAGCTTAAATTTCTGAGTACCCAAAGTTTGAACCGGAGGTGGGAGGCTGGGCTTATATAGCTAGACAAAATTTTTTATCTTTAAGTTATATATTTATTTTCCTTGGGTTGGTTTGGAGCTTTAAAACAATAATAGCCTCCTGGGTCAGTATAGCAGGCTACACTGGTACAGAAGCCCAACCCTGCACTAAAGACTTTGAAATGCTGTGCATGGGGCTGGGGGTGGGTAGACTCACTGTATCAAAGCATGGGGACCTGAGTTTAAATCCTGGAGTCCACCAAAATCTTGGCATAGTGACATACACTTGTAACTCCAGCGGGATGGTGGGGCTGTAGATAGGAGGATCCTGGGGCTTTGGTGGATGACCACTTTAGCCAAAATAATCATGAGTTTACTTAGAGATCTAGTTCCCAAAAGAAAAGAGGAAAGAAAGAAAGAAAAATACTATGGGAGAGCAATGGGAGAGACACTGGAATTGGACTCCTGACTTGTCATGCATGACTGGGGCATCCCTACACACAAAAAATACTGAATAAAACACAACAAAAAAGCCAGGCAGTGGTGGTGTGCTCACTTTTAATCCCAACCCAGGAGGCAGGAGGCAGGTAGATCTCTTGAGTCGGGCCGGTATGGTCTACAGAGTGAATGCCAGGGAGGCCAGGGCTACACAGAGAAACCCTGTCTTGAAAAAAAAAAAAAAAATCAAAAAACAAACAAACACAACAAAAAGTTTGTGTAGCAAAGCTTGGCAGCACAGGAAACGCTAACCTGCTCTTTTAATCGGGAGGGAGGAGGGAGGGAGGGAAAGAAAGAAAGAAAGGAAGAAAGAAAGAAAGAAAAGAAAGAAAAAAGAAAGAAAAAAAAAGAAAGGTTTTCCAAGAGAACACTGACCCTCATCTGCTTAGATAGCCCTAGATGGTCTGAAAACCCTAGATCTGTTGGAAAGTGTGGGTCTGTGTTAGTGGGGAATAGAGCAGTTGAAAGTGGACGGAGCCCTCCAAGATTCCCATTGTGTCTCCTTTTAAGTGGGATTTGTGGATTTAGGTTTTGTTTTCTCCTATTGATTCCAAAAAGTAGGCACATGCCCCTTGAAGGGGAAACGTCAAAATATAAATAACTCTGAGGAGAAGGCAAAGAATCCCACCTCTGGCCAGATCCCCTGGGAGTCAGGAGCCACATTTCAGTCATCTTGGCTTCTGTCTTTTTCATAGGTCTGGCACCACCCCCCCTTCTTTTTTAAACTAGATTTATTTATTTATTTATTTATTTATTTATTTATTTATTTATTTATTTATTTTTGTAGTGGGAATCTTTGGCCTGGATCAAGTGTGTACTGTGACTGTAGACTAGAAGAGGGTACCAGAAGTCTGGGATTGGGGTTAAAGGCAGTTGTGAGCCTCTGTGAGGGGTCCTCTACAAGGGCAGCCAGTACTGTTAACTGCCATGTCACCCCTTCAGTCCCATTTTTTTGTCTCCATTGTTTTCAAAGATAAATATGTAATTACCTCCCTTCCTCATTATTGAGTGCATAAGTGATTTTTTCTGTTAATACATGAGGTTGTGACAGTCCTGTCCTAATTTTAGATGCCATTGTTGATTATTTCCTTAGACTAGGGGTGTCTAGGATGAGAGGAGAGAAATGTCCCTGAAGTCTTTGATCTGTTGGTTTACAGAAACATAAGTGGTCTTCTCCCTACTAGACTGAGGCCTTACAGGAAGTCTGTCTCCTGCTTTTCTAGTGCTGAGGTCCTCAGTGCCTTTCTCTCATGTCTGTACACGTGTTCTCCATCCTATCATGTGTGCGTTACATAATTGAGATCATGTTATGTGAATGAGAGCTTTCAGGAGTTCTGTGTACTTCTGTGTAAAAGTGGTGGCTTGTTCTTGAGCTTGACATCTTTCTGCTTTGGTCTCCGATAATTAATTAATTATGTTTCATAATTAATCATGAAGTTAACAGTTTGTATGTTAATTGGTTGTCTGTGTTTCTGTTGTTTGTTTTCCCTGGTTTAGCTCTATTTATCTCAGCGTCTTTTAATGGCTTGAGTTTTACATCTTTGGGTCCTGTTACCATTTTGTTTTATTTTCTACAAAAGCTTTCCAAATGCATTGTTTGCTTCTTAATTTAGTCTCCCTCTGGCCTTTAAATTTCATCTGGTTTTCTTTTCTTTCTTTTTCCCCTTTTCTATCTATCTATCATCTATCTGTCAATCCATCTATCATCTATCTATATCTACCTATTTATTGGTGTTTAAATTGTATTTAGTGTTCATTCGCCATTTTTTTTAAAGCATGTGGATCTATAAGTTGATACTTAGCTGTAGCAATAGCCTCCTAACTGAGACTAAAGACACACTAGACAGGCAAAGGCGATGCGTAAACTTTTGTTTTTATTCACTGGCACTTATGAGAACCAGTGTGCTATCACTGCTCTTTGTTGAGGTGCTGATCATCAAAATCCTTAAGGAGTTTTAATGCATCTTCTGAAAAGCTATAACACTTTCTGTTAAGGATAAGGATAACAGATCCGAAGGTTAAAATGTATTCATTTGGGAGGTTTTTCTAATTGGATAATAATTTCCTTCAGACTAAGTAACTAGTAACTTTCATTTCCCCATATGTATTAAGTGATGCACAGAGTAAGGTGGGTTGGATCACATGATAATTCAGATGTTACTGGATCTGTGTCAATATGTGGCAGAAAGGAGACAGTCATTGGGCTCAAACATGGGAGTAGCATGGATTTCAAATGTGGCTAGTTCCATCTAAGAGAAAACAAAACTCACAGAAGTGTCTCTTTCTGATTCTCAGGGATGTTCCTGAAGGATGAAGAATTGACCGTCGCAGAGGATTAGCTGTGAGGTACGTGTCTTTGGATCTACTATGGATTGTACTATTTCACTGGCTTACAGAAAGCAACCTTCCCGAGGCACTGCAGGCCATTGTGTTTTGCTGTGCTAGGCTGGCGAGTCTCTCCCGGACCCCCCCTAAGTCCATACCTGTGCCTCTGTACCATGTGTGCCTCCCATGAGCCATGTGGAGGCCACTGGTGTCATCTCTGTGGGACTCTCAAAGACAGATGCTTGGTCTGCAGGTGTAGTGATTACACTGCAATAATAGTAGCTGCCACTCACAGGGCAGCGGCCTGGTAGCAGTCACTGGGGCAGTATATTAATAGCACAAATGTGCAACACAGATGTTACTGATATTATTTGAGGAATTTATTCAGTCATCTTCTTTCTTTGTTCTGCTCCCAAGAGTGGAAGAGTGATTTAAGGAGTGGCTTGGTTTCCTGGCCAATTCATTTTCAATCTAACATGATTAAAGATGAAATATACTCCTTTTACCTTTAAAGAAAGCATTTTTTGTAGTAGCCTGTTTCTAAATACAGAATTAGAGAATGCATGGCTGCCAAGAACAGTGGTCCTCAACCTGTGGGTTTCCAACCCCTTTGGATCAATTTGTAATAATGAAAATACACCCTGCATATCAGATATTTACATTACAATTCATAGCAGTAGCAAAATTGCAGTTGAAGTAGCAAAGATAAATGTTATGGTTGGGGGTGAGCACAACATGAGGAATGGTATCTAGGGGTCTCTGCATTAGGAAGGTTGAGAACCACTGCTCTAGAATAGGGGATGATGTTCATGAATGTGGACAGATGTGCGCCACTGTCCACCTCTTTGCCCCCTATAACACATCTGCACGTTCAGGATTCCCCTGTCTTCTCTATGATTCGGTCTTCATACAGCAGCACAGAACCATTGACTACACTTTACGTGACAAATAATTGGATTGGTTATTGACTTTTCCTTGGCCTTGATCTACCCCAGACACTGTCATATACAGACGGCAGCTCTGATTCTCCTGTCCCCCTCAGGCAACCGCCTGGCAAATGGCCAGTCCCAGTTAGCTTCAGCTTTGCACCTGATGAACAGTAGAAGGAAGCTAATAGAAAATACTTCTCTTGTTGGCTGGAATAATTTTGAATTTTTCACTCTATTTTTAAAATTGTGGTCCTTGGGGCAAAAGCAGTGACTCACAAGTTGCTGTTCTTGCAGAATACCAGGTTGGTTCCCAGCACCTACATGGTGGCTTGACACTAACTCTAACTCCAGTTCCAGGGGGGTCTTACACCCTCTTCTGGTTTATTTGGGCACCAGACACACACATATATATGCATGTGGCAAAGTACCCATACATTAAATCCTTAAAAAAAAAAAAAAAATGGGGCTAGAAAGATGGCTTAGTGGGGTTAAGAGCACTGGTTGCTCTTCAGGAGGTCTTGAGTTCAATTTCCATCACGACATGGTGGCTCACAGCCATCCATAATGAGATCTGGTGCCCTCTTCTAGCCTATAGACATGCATGCAGGCAGAACACTGTGGATATAATAAATAAATAAATCTTTTAAAAAAAAAACCACCATGGTCCATCATGGCCCTTCGTACTGATAACAAATCATTTGCTTAGTTCTCTCTCTGAGAAGATTTTAGATTTCTCTCTTCCCAGAACTGCACATACTCTCTCCCTCTTACTCATGTTGAAAGCTAAATTTATTTCTTTTTCTTTGTAGTAGAAAGTTCTTTATTAAGATGTCTTCCCTTTCCCATCCACACAGCCCATGGGCTAGGTACTCACCTCTGACCTTAATCAAGTTCTTTTTTTTTTCCTCTTGGTGGGTCATCATCAGCTTTGCAGGACAACTGTTGTATTGTCACGCTTTCCCTTCTAGCCACCACCTTCCTGCCACTCCTCTTTGTCACAGTACCTCTGTTGCTGGTGTTACTTTCCCTCCAGGTCCCAAGGCCGCCTCAGCCCCAAATAAGAGACATATTAATCATTAAACTGTTGGCTCGATGGCTAGGGCTTCTTATAGGCTAGTTCTGTCTTAATTATTAACCCACTTCTATTAATCTATGTATTTCCATGTTGTCTTGGCTTTACCGGAGAATGCCCAGGCTTGTTACCTCCTTTGTGGTCTACATGGTGTCTCCTCCAGGTCCTCTCTGTCTACACTCTCCCAGAATTCTCCTAGTCCTGCCTATCTCCCTGCCTCTATTGGCCAAACAGTGTTTTATTCATCAACCAATAAGAGAAACATATGTACAGAAGGGACATCCCCCCATCTCTTCATCTTCCATTCTCCCTGCCCACTGGTGGTCAGACATGTTCTTTTCTTTCTTGGTTGCCCTTAGTCTTCAGCCTTGTTGCCATGGTGATCAAGCACAGCAGCATCACTGGTCCAGCTGACTGCTCTTCACAGGATTCCTGGGCACCATGTTCTCTTGCCCTCCTGCTCAGCCATGCCCCTCCCCTGTCTGACTGACTGTTGCTGTACCCCAGAACTGAGACCTGAACTTCTTAGCTGTCCCCAGGTGCTTCCATGTGGTCTGTGGGGCTTGAAGCCACTCAGTCCTCTCCCTCGCCTCCAGCCTCCGGTGCCCACTGCCATTTCAGGGTCCTCACTTGGATAGCAGTAGGTCTATTCCAAATACTGGTCCTGATTTCTGTCCACTGCTGCCACTTGCTGGCTGATAGCATCATTTGCTATTGGGGGCTGATGGGGAACATAACAGGTTTCCATTTTCTTACTGCAAGTCCACTAGAAAGTTTAGTAAACTTTCAGTCATCACCACTGTGCCATCCTGCTCCTCTAAGATCTAGGAGGCTGCCTGCCAGAGTGCACCTGATGCTCTCTGTAGCAGATTTTCGGGTTGAGTCCATTGATGCCCCCCATCCCTATGTGTAGTTGTGTGTGTGTGTGTGTGTGTGTGTGTGTGCACATGCAAATACATAAGCTAGAACAGAACATCAGTGTCTTCTTTGCTTTCCACCATAGTTTTTTTTTGGGGTTTCCTAAGACAGAGTTTCTATGTACCACTGGCTGTCCAGAAACTCACTCTGAGACCAGACTGGCCTCGAACTCAGAGATCCACAGCCTCTGCCCAAGTGCTAGGAGTAAAGGCATGCACCACCACTATCCAGCTCCACCTTGTTTTTGAAACAGGGTCTGTCATTGTACCTGGCTGTTCTGGCTGGCCAGTAAGCTGTTAGGGATCCTCGCCTGTGCTTCGGTCCTTCCCTGCTCCCTCCTCCCCAGTACTGTCTAGGATACAGGAATGGGCTCCATCCTTTCCTACCCCTCCCTCCCATACCATCTAGGGTACAGGATTTGGTTCCAATGTCCCCTCACACAATACTGTTTACAGCCAGGAGTGGGCTCCATCCTTCCTTGCCTCACCCCATCAATACTGTCTGGGGTACAGGAATGGACTCATTTCACTTACTGAAGAATCAAATGCAGGCAAAGTTTGAAAGGCAAGCAAAGACCAAGTTTACTCAAAGAGGATGATTTTATTAGAGTCTAAGAGGAGAACTCCAATGCAGGCAGCTGTCAGTCTTGGTAGTTGGGGTAGGGGTTGGGGCAGCAGTGCCATTTGAGTTAAGTGGCCATGTGAGGGGAACTTAGAAAGAGTCAGGACCAGAAAAGTCATCCTGAGGGGTTCTGGCTAGCTCTCTGAAGAAGGGCAGGGAGGGAAAGTTGAACTTCCATCAGAAAGCTGGATAGACACAGTAGAACCTTGCAGTGGCTCGGGGACAGGAATTCTGGGAAGGAGATATGTGGTATTTAATTAAAGGGCTAATTATTCTGTCTGTCCCTTTAGTGTGGCCTAAGGTGAGCCTGCCTTCCAGCGTGGTGCCTTGTTCAGGTGATTGACTAGCCTAACTGGCTAACTCTTTGATGGTTTTGGTAGCTGGAATGTTAGGTCTCTGCCCAGGCCAGAGATTACATCCTGTTGACCAGAAAGAACCGGTTTTCCCTTTATGGGTCTTTACTGTTACTGTGTCGTTGCCCCTCTAAAAGAGGTAACCTTGGAATCATTTGGATGATGGATTAAAGATGAGGCACTGATAACCCATTTCACTATGGGAGACAAGAGCTGCTGCTCCAGTGCTGACCAGAGGGATCATTTATCATCTGGCCTGGTGTTCTAGTCCCCACACCAGCATAAGTTCTGGGCAGGTTTATTGGCTTCTAAGGAGGCAAGAAGCCAGGGGCTTCTTCCGGCATTCTTGGCCAGAGACTGAAGGACCTTTGTAGAACATCTGCTCTTGAGTCAGCTGCCCTGAGCTGCCTGTCCAGTGTCTAGTGCCTGTTTTCATTGCACACCAATGTCATAGGTGCCCATGGCCATGCCCAGCTTTGAATGTAGGTGTTGGAGACTTGAACATGGCTCTCTTGCTTCACACAGAGTACTTTTACTCACTGAGTGGCCTTTCCGTCTCCAGAGATGCTTTGAGTAGGCTTTGGGTTGTTTTAGTATTTTCTTAACCTCTCCGATTTATACATAAAATAAAGAAAGAAAGAAAGGAAGAAAAGAAAGAAAGAAAGGAAGGAAGAAAGAAACTGTAACTTCTGACCACAGCATCCTTCTCTGAAACAGCCTGGAGCTCCACACTATTGCCTTAATTTACCCACTCCTCATCTTAGTTCTGGGATGGGAGAACCACGTCAGGTTGACTTCAGACTTCAGCCAACCTCCGGGACCCTCCCAAGATAGATAGGGTGTGTGCCACCCAGCCACTCCCTCTTCAACTTTAACTACCCATCCCAAACTCTAGCCCTCTGCCCTGCCCCCTGCTTTCTTCATAATGTGTACTGTTTGCTTTCCCTCAGTCCTTTCCCAACCCAGGCACAATGTCCTAAGGCTTGAGAGCTTTGTCTGCTTATCACTACGTTCTGTCTCCTAAGCAGCCAATGATGCTTGCCCCAGGAGACATTTGTGCATATCTGGAGACACATCTGATTGTCGGAGCCCTGAAGGGTTGACTGCTAGTAGGTAAAGGGGCAGCACAGAAGTACTGACCCCTCAGTCGGGGGAGGCTAAGCAAATCCCACTGACCTAGATAAACACAGGTGATGTCAGGGGAGGTTGAACAAATCAGCAAGGCCTTTATGTGAGGGAAAGAAATAGTGGGCTTAGGTATTATAGTGACTTACTCCATCCACCACCTCACATGGTTTGTTTGACAGTTGAACCCAAAACTCTCCAGTAAATTATGTGACTGAGAGGAATCTGCTTGGACCCCAGCACTTAGGAGCTGGAGACAGGGACCACAAGGCTGAGGTGTTCCTCTAGGCCAGCAGTTTACACCTGTGATCCCAGCCTCTAGGAGCCTGAAGGAAAGGGGCTGTTAAAAGTTCCAGGCCAACCAGAACCACAGAGGGCTACGTAGCAAGACTGTCTCAAACTGGGTTCAACTCCACACAATGGTGGCTCACAACTGCCTATAACTCCAGTTCCAAAGGATTTGATGCTCTCTTCTTGCTCCCTGTGGCTCATGCATGCTTGTGGTCTACATGAATTCATTAGAGGTGCGTGCGCGCGCGCACACACACACACACACACACACACACACACGATAAATAAATATTTTCTAAAGCCACACTAAAACACAGCCCACAAACACCACTACCTCAACAAAAGAAAGAAAAAGGTATACTGGAAAAAATAGATGGAGTTTGTGATGGAGAACTGTTTTCAGACATCCTTGTTCTCTGTTTCTCAGCTCCCACAACTAATCCTTCAACTGACCCCCCCCCAGGTGCTGCTCCCAGCGTGCCATCGGCTACAGTCCCCTGCCTGGTCTTCATTCGTCCACTATGCCCACACACTGGGCCACAGTGGCACTTTTAAAACATGGCCTTTAGAACCTGCCTGTAATTTTTCATCTCGTCCTCTGTGGCTTGGAAGGCAGGCCCTGTGTGACCTTACCTCAATTAGCGGTCTTTCCTCTGTGTCTTCTTCTGTCATGATGTCAGCGGCGCTATCACCGAGTGTGCATCACCTGTGCCCTCCTTGCTCCTGCCCCTAGATTCTTCATTGCCAGGGTTTGTACAGCTCTCACTTCTGTTCAGCCTCTGCCCAAATGGGATTCACCAAAGAGGCTTCTCTGACTTCTTTATGTAAATAGACCCCTTTCTCATTGTGGCATTTAGCATCTCTGAAGATTACATATATTATTATAAGGTTACATTTCTGCATATAAATGATATCAGTGCACACATGTCATATGTATATATGACGTCTGTATATATGACATCTGTGTTGTACAATGGGAGGATAAGCTCTGTGCATGCCGGATTTTGTTTGCTGACTACACTGTCTGCAGACCCTGGAGCCTGTTGTCCACATGATGGGCACATGGCATGCATTTGTTGAATGAGCAGGCAAGTAAGAAGTGAGCGACGATTCCTCGTGCCCCATTGTGGTCATCTTAGGTCATTAGGAGAAACCTAAGTGAAAACCCTCTGTAGTTGCTGCTAAAGAACTGTATGAAAACCCCTACTGTTCTATTTCATTTCTATAAGATACTTTAATAAAAAGTAACTTAGGGGAGAGAGGGGGTTTATTTGGCTCACAATTCCAGAATGTAGTCTGTCTTAGTTAAGATTTCTATTACTATGATAAAAATACCATGATCAAAGCAATTTGGGGAGGAAAGGATTTGTTTTAGCTCCATCCCCATGGGAAGCCAGGACAGGAACACAAGGAAAGGAGGCAGAGCTGATTTAGAGGCCATGGAGAAGTGCGCTTACTGACTTGCTCCTCATGGCTTGCTCAGTCTGCTTACACACCCAGGACCAGAAGCCCAGGGGTAGCACTGCCCATATCAATCACTAAGAAAATGCCCCGCTGGATTGTCAACAGACCAATGTCAAGGAAGAATATTCTCAACTGTGGTTCTCTCTTCTCAGGTAACTCTAGCTTGTGTCACATTGGCAAAAGAAAAACCAGGACACAGGTCACTATAGCAGAGGAGTCACAGTGGCAGGGGCTCAAACAGTTGTCATGTCACCTCACAGTAAAGGGCAGGGAAAAATCAGTGCAGCGACACTCGCTTGGCTAGCTTCCTCCTAGGCTGCATCATTCAGGACTCACTTTCTAGGGAACAGTGCTACCCATGATGGCCTGGGTCTCTGCATGTAAACTAACAGCCAAGATGATTCCCCCCAGGCCCACCTGATCTACAAAACTCTTCCTGAAGACTCTTCCCAGGTGAGAAGGCTGTGTCAAGTTGAGAGTTTAAAATTAAGTAATGTATCTATTCAAACACAGATATGTTGAGAATCACTCTGTTCCACCTCCCGGATTCTTACATAGATGCTCATGAAAACTGAGGTGTGTTTTGTTTTGGGAATGGTAACAGTAGTGAGCACACGGCTGCCGGTTTCTGTGGCTTGTCCCTGAAAGTGTCTCTCGCACCTTACTAGCATGTCCTCCTCATTACAGACGCATGCCGAGTCTCCTGGAGTATGTAAGTTATACCTGCAACTTCATGGGTATCCTGGCAGGTCCTCTCTGCTCTTACAAAGACTACATTACTTTCATTGAAGGCAGGCCATCCCACATGTCACCGTCAAGTGAGAATGGAAAGGAAGAGGCACAGCATGAAAGAGCAGATCCATCTCCAAACGTAAGGGCATGAGGGCTCGCCTGGAGCTGTGGCTCTATAGCTTGTCTCTCTGGCTTTCTGGAAAAGTCTAATGCTTTCACTTGTTGTAATTCCCCCATTGATTTCTCTCTTTTTCGCTTCCTGGGTGTGTATGTGTGTGCAAGAGTGCATGTGCATGCATGCATGTGTGCATATGTGTGTGCACATGTGTGTATGTATGTATGTGTATGTGTTCATGAGTGTGCATGTGGTGTGATTTTAGGGATTAAACCCAGAGCATTGTCAGGGCCTGTGTTGCTAATGTATTAAGGCAAATAATTCTACCACTGAATTGCATCTCTGTCCTCCATTCCCAATTTTTGTTTTCATTTTTTTAAAAAAATGCTTATGTGTCTGAGTGTGTGTAGGGAGAACCATGGTGATCAGAAAAAAAGGTATAGGATCCCCTGGAGTTGAAGTTACAGGCAGTGTGAGCTGTCTGAAGTGGGTTCTGGGAACCAGACTCTAGTCCTCTCAGAACTGCACAGCACCTGTCCAGCCCTCTTGTCCTGAAGCTGACAGTGACCTTACTCTGAAGCCTGGCCTTGAACTTACAATTTTCCCATTTCAAACCTCCCCAGGTAGCTAAAATTACATGTCTGCACCACCTGCCTGGCTTTCATCTATTTCTTTAAAAGTATCTTTCAGGAAAACTAATTCTTTATACTCTACTAGTTGTGCTGTCTAGTAGAGGCAAAGTCATGATTAAAGAACAAATGTAAGTCACTGTGTAAGGGGCTGAAGAGATGGCTCAGTGGTTTAGTGCACTTGTTGCTGTTGCAGAAGACCCAGGTTTGATGCCCAGCACCAATGTGGCAGCTCACAATAATGCATAACTCCAGTTAAGGTATCTGGCTCTTCTGACCTCTGTGAGCACGAGGCACACACAGTGCACCTGCAAGCATACAGGTGAAACGATTCATACACATAAAACAAATATAAAAGAAAGAAAACCAATCCTTAGTGAAAGCAATGCTATCCAGTGGTGGGTCTTACATGGCAGCCCCTCATGGGTCACCACTGGAAACACTGAAGGCTCCTTTTTCCACTCACGTTCTCCTCCTAATGATGATAGTCAAGTCTTACTCATGGGGCCGGGGAGATGGCTTAGTGGCTAAAGCACTCACAAGTGTGAGGACCATAGTTTGGATCTCCAGAACCCATGTAGTGGTAGTGTGTCACACTTGCCTGTAATTCTGTCTCTGGAAGGCAGACATAGGATCCCCAGAGCAAGCTGACCAGCACGACTAGTCATATCAGGGAGCCCTGGATCTGATTGACAGACCCTTCTTTGGTGATGGAAGTTAATGAGGGTGAAATGCCCCGGGCAAGGCGCCTCCTGATTTTTTGTTGCTGCATTGCCAGGATATATCTGGTGGCGGTGTGTGAAATGTGCAAACAGAGTCCTGTGAGGTTTGTGACTCTCATCTACCTGTTCCAGGCAGCAGTCACGGAGAAGCTCCTCGTCTGTGGACTCTCTTTGTTGTTTCATTTGACCATCTCCAATATGCTACCCGTGGAGTACAACATTGATGAGCATTTCCAAGCCACTGCCTCATGGCCAGCCAAAGCCAGCTATCTGTATGTCTCTCTTCTGGCTGCCAGACCTAAGTACTATTTTGCATGGACCTTAGGTAAGTAGCATGTAGACTTGTTTCTATGCTGAAGTGTATCTTGATTTCAGGCAGTGGCCTGGGGTTTTTGTTTTGTTTTGTTTTGTTTTTCTGTGACTGTGTTGTATTGTACCTGCTGGCCTCAAACTGCTGAGTGCAAGCAATCCCCCTGTTTCAGCCTTGCTAGTAGCTGAACTGCAAGCACCTCACTGCATCCAGCTCAAGAGCGCCCTCTTGAGTATATACAGTTGAAGAACAAGTAGAACAAGTCATTTTGCCTAAGAAACAAACTCCTGAAGTTCATGAGCAAGGCCCATTTTATTATAAGGTAAAAGTCAGTGAATAGGTGAGGTGACAGCAGGTACTTATCTTAATGCCTGTTGTGTGCTAGGTTCTATGAGCTTGATTGGATACTAACATGAATGGGGTAGTCCCTGTCTCCAGGGTACCTGTAGTTTAGTAGGATTTTAATACATTTGTTATGACACCATTAGATATGGTTTATTATGATCAGAACTGCACTGGTAAAGTGTGAAAAATCACATCAGTTCACGAAAGTGTCCATGACACCTGACAGGTGGACCATAATAAAGAGTTTTGTGCCTTTAAGGCTGAAGAGGTGTGTACACGTGCCTGGACCTTGACTGGCGTGTTGGGGACCGAATGGAAAAGATGGGTCTGGGGAGGAGAGAACCCTCTCTCAAGCCTTCTGCTGTATGGCTGCACAAGCCTTGGGAGGCTCCAGATGATGGTGTCATGAACTGCCAGTATTCAACATTTTCATGTTATCGCCACATAAATCGTCTTGAGTGTAGCAGTGAACTCCCGATGTTCCTGCCCACAAACAAACAAATGGAATAAGGTGGATTTTAGCCATTGGATTATTAAACCACTAGCTGCAGGAATATGGGTTTTCTGTACGCATTTGGATTTGTTGGCAGCCTTGTGTGGTGGGAGTGGGCTCTCTCTATGTTCTTATCAGACGTTATCTTTGATCCTATAATAAGCCTGCATGATACCATATTGGTAGGCTCACCATGAAGTTGCACAGCTGTACCCTTCTTAAACCTGACAGAAGGGTAAATCTTGATTGCTCACTGTCTCACCAAATTTATATATATATATATATATATATATATATATATATATATATATTTGTTTAATCAAATGAGAAATAAGGAATAAACAATTTGAGGGTAGGATCCATGTCTATGAAGGTGTGTTGTTTTGCTGCATTTTGATGGGTTTCCGCTAGTTTGGTCAAGACACAGATGGTATGAATTAGGTACACTTCCAGTTGGTTGGGAAGGACTTACTTGGGGCAGAAACTTCATATCTTGAGCAGGTTTGTAAGCAAAGATGCTGATGGCACACCATGGTGAACGGGTTGAAAAGCAGGTTCTGCAGACAGAGTGGGTTGTGGTGAGCCAAGAAGGAAAGAAACGAAAACATTAGCCCCCCCACATGTTTCTATCTATAATAAAGGCCAACATGAACGCACTGAGCTCAGGGCAGAAGATTCCCAGCAGTGCCTTCCAGATGGCTGAGCATTCTCCACCATATTCTAATGTGTACCTCAGACTTTTTAATCTCACCTGTCTCCTCTTACTTCACATCTGGTGTTTTGTTAGCTAACCAGCTGCCTTTAACAGGGTCATTATTTTCACTGTGTGTGATTTTTCTAACCTCTCTTAAAAATTAGAATTAACCAGGGCTGGACAGACGATGACTCAGTTAAGGATGCTTGTTGCTGTGGCGAGTGCCTTTAATCCCAGCACTTGGGGTAATCCCAGCACTTGGGAGGGAGATGCAGGTGGATCTCTGTGAGTTCAAAGCCAGCCTGGTCTGCAGAACAAGTTCCAGAATAGCAGGGCAATATAAAGACCTTGTCTCAAAAATTACAACAGCAACAACAACAAAAACAAACCGTTTGTTGCTCTTCCAAATGACCTGAGGAGTTTGGTAGATTATAACTACCTGTAACTCCAGCTCCAGGGGATCCAGAATCCTCTCCTGACCTCCATGGTCACCTGCATACATGTAACATGTACAAAGAGAGAAATATACACACATGCACATTTTTAAAATTAGAGTAAGTCATGGACTACGGTTGCAGCTCACCAGCAAAGGGCTTGCCTAGAAGGTTCAAGGCACAAGGTTCAATCTCTCAGATACAAGTAAATAAAAAGTCTCCTTTTACTGTTTAAGAGTAAATCATAGTACAAACCTTCTGGAAAAATAGAGTAGATATTTTGAAGGGTGGGAGCGATAGCTCAGCATTTAAGAGCATTTGTTGCTCTTGCAGAGGAGGCGTTTTCAGTTTCCAGCACCAACATGGTGGCTGACAAACATCTGCAACTCCAGTTCCAAGGGATCTAACACCTTCTTTTGACCCCTGAGGGCACCACGAATGTACACAGTACATAAAACATGCATGCAGGTAAAACACCATCTTTAAAAAAACAAAACAAGGGGCTGGAGAGTTGGCTCAGAGGTTAAGAGCACTGCCACTCTTCCAGAGGTCCTGAGTTCAATTCCCAGCAACCTCATGGTGACTCACAACCATCTATAATTAGATGTGGTGCCCTCCTCTGGCCTGTAGGGTTGGTTACACATATATATATATATATATATATATATATATATATATATATATATATGTAAGTCTTTAAAACAAGACAAAACAAATATGTGTATATATACATATATAGTGCATACATTGTAATATTTCTGATATGTGTGTATATATGTATAGATTGTAATGATATTTCTAATACTTTACTTTGTGACAGCTGATGCCATTAACAATGCTGCAGGCTTCGGTTTCAGAGGATATGACAGGAATGGAGTGGCTCGTTGGGACTTAATTTCCAATTTGAGAATCCAGCAAATAGAGGTTAGTAAATGATTAAGATGTTAATCATGTGACAATTTTAACACCACAGTTTGCTTTCACAGTTATGGCGAGCTGTCTTTAGAGTGGTGCTAATGGGTGTTGACCACAGTAAGACTCAGACCTTTGGGGGTTTTTTGTAATAGAATAAAGAGTTTCTTTTGGGCTTATAGAAGGTGAGAGTCAGATGCTGAGATCTTGCATCGTGGAACTGCAAGCATAAAGCAGGGGGTGATCTAGAGATGGCATGAGTCTTTAACCTGTTTGAGTCCACCTCTGATGACACACCTCCTCTAACAAGACACACCTCCTAACCTCCCAAGACACACACACCTCCTAACCCTCCCAAGCAGCACCATCAACTGGGGATTGAGTGTTGACATACGTGAGACTATGAAGGGGACATGTTTCACACATGGATTGATGTTTATTTTTATACGAAGATTCATGGATGGTCAAGGTGCTGTGAGTCAATGACTGTTGAGTGTTTGGCATAACACTGGATGCCTCACACCACCCCCTTTCAGGGCTCGTGAGAGGAGGGGGTGGAAAAATCAAAACCAAATGACAGGGAGGAGGGCTGTGGAACAATATCCCGACCATCACCCCATATTTACTGGTGGTAGACTACCCCCTGGTGCGCGAATATGGCTGGTGACTTAAGGGACCTCAGGAAGCTGTAGAAAGTGCTGCAAGTAGGTTTTGACCTGGAAAGTACAGACATACAGTCTGTGTCTGGTGTCTTAGGGAAAGTGAAGTGGGAGGTGACTAGGTGAGGCCTGGAGGAAGAGCATCCTATGAGGCTGGAAAGGGCAAGCCATTCCCAGGGCTGCAGGACAAGGTGCTGTGGCGAGGCCAGAGAAGCAGAAGCCACATCAAACAGCCTCAGAAGCTGCCAGCACCCTACAGGGCCACTCACAACTGGTTCTGGGGATCTGGTGCCCTCTTCTGACTTCTAGAAGCACCACATGCACAGACTGCATAGACACACTCAGTGAAAAACTCATAAAATAAAAATAAGTAGGGAGGGGGAGAGGAAGTGGTGGTTGCTGAAGTAAGGTAATGAACGGGTTGATATTTACAACCCTTGACCCTTGGCGCCACTCTGAGGAACCCTCTCCAACCCCCCCCCAATAGAGAGACTGTTATTTATCCACATTTTTATGGTTATCCATAAAAAGGGTAGGGTTTGTCCACACCCCAAAACCGGAGTTCTTCCTCCTGGGAACATGTGGCATCACCTTGGGAATGAGGAAAGAGAAGCATTGGTTCCCTGGAGGAGGACACAGTGACCACTGCTAAATGCCCCCAGATGTCAATGAGATAGGTGCCCAGGAACAACCGTACCGTTACGATTTAACAGTTCTGCAGGGAGGGGGAAACAAAAGGTGACACAGATCTGTGGAGGCCTGTAGCCAGGGCGTGGGGGGGGGTGGAGGGGTGGGGGTGGAGGGGGGGTAGGGAGTGCTGAGGAGGCATTTGTTTAATTTTATCTTAAAACGTAAAGATTAGGGGGCTGGAGAGATGGCTCGGTGGTTAAAAGAACTCACTGCTCTTGGGAGGACGAGTTCAATTCCTAGCACCCATGTCAGGCAGCTCACATCCACCTGTAACTTTATGGATCTGAAACTCTTCTCAGGCCCCTGTGGGCACCTGCACACACATGTAGATATGCAGAGGGCGTGCGTGTGGGAGTGCATGTGATGCGCGCACACACACACACACACACACACACACACACACACACACAAACATTGCATTGTAATAACTGTTTTCAAGACGGCAACAGCTGCCAGTGGATATATTGGGGACCTAATTACAGTTGAGAACCATGTCTGTATGAGATGTCTGGAATGTCACAATCATCATCAAGATGCTGCTATTGGGGATGATGGACAGCCTGTCAATCAGAGATCAGGGTTTTGATATGTAGATGGGTAGGTAGGGGAAGCTAGACAAGGTCATCAATGACCTTGATATGATAAATAGAGTGTGGAATCTAATGTGCCAGAAGGAGCTAGAGATGTAGCTGCTCACAACGATTGGCTGTGCACTGACCATGTGTGGTAGCCCTTGGTTTGATCCCCCACCATCACCGTAACTGAATAAGAGGAAGGAAGACAGTTACATAGAATGACAGCAGACAAGCTGCAGCCCAGATATAGACATACACATTCAGGAAGTGCTAAATGTAATAATATTAGCTTGACCACAGAGGCTTCCCCAGTCTGAGAGGTTCACAGCCCATTGCTGTCTGGAGACAGTGTGGAGCTGGGGGAGCTTCAAGATCTAGAGTAGCCAATGGGGCCTGAGAAACAGTGCTGGGTGGCTGTGACTGTGGACAGCCTTTACCTGGAAAGAGACAGAATGGAGGATAGGGAAGGTGAGGCAGTACTATCCAGGACACAGGGGCGAGCAGATCACTGTGTGAGTGGACTTCTCTGTGTGGATGACCTGGGAGAACATGGCAATGTCCTTCTGATAGATGATGCTCCGTGGAAGATGCTTCTGTATTAGAAAAGTATTGAGGAAGGAATCGGTGCTGGGTCATCATTACCCACTGACTTTTGGTTTTAATTTCTTAGCATGCTGAAGCATTATTATGTAGACATAAAGCTTCATTATTTTACTGGCCAAAGAAAATGATCCCTTTGTTTTTCAGATGTCAACAAGTTTTAAGATGTTTCTTGATAACTGGAATATCCAGACAGCTCTTTGGCTCAAAAGGTATGTTCTTTCAAGAGTCACCCTTGGGCAGGCTCTGGCATCAGCATTGGGCCTCAGCTTGCTGAGGTGACGTTCTTCATTGTCAGTGTGTTGGATGCCATCATGGTCCTGATTTTACCCAAGTTATACCATTAGCGTCCACTGAAGTAAGGCTTGGAATTGAGTCACAAACATCCCTATGTTGGTGTCACCTCCTTCTGGTTCAGGTCTGCTGATGTCTGGGTAGGCAATTAAATAAATGCATACAGGGCAGAGGTAGTGTACACCTTTAATCCCAGCACTAGGGAGGCAGAGGCAGAGGCAGGCAGATCTGTGAGTTCGAGACCAGCCTGGTCTACAGAGCTAGTTCCAGGACAGCCAAGGCTGCATAGAAAAAACTTACCTTAAAAAAAACCAAACCAGACAAAAACACAACAAAACAGCCAACCTCTGGGCTTGCCTTGGATTTCTGGAACTGACTCAACTGCTCTTTATATGTTGGACGTGAGACATACATGTAGGACCAAAAGACCCATTGTTAGTACTCAGGCATCTGTACTGACCTGCCCTTGGGGTTCTGACAGGACACACCCTCAGCTGGAGCCACTAAGAGCACCCCCTGTGCACATTCACTACATCCCCTTTATTTTATTTTACTACATTCCCTTTTAAAAGGGTCCTGCCTACCTCCCATTTTTCTCTCTTTCTGCTTCTCTGCCCCCTCCTCTCCCTTTCTTTTCTCTCCTGCTTCCCCAGTCCCCAGAGGCCAGTCTCTCCTCCCTCCTTTTCCCATTCACTTTCCCTCAGTAAAAATACCTCCACCCAAGCTGTATTGCATGGCATCTTTCTCTCAGGAGCTGCTTTTTAAAATTACAATACCCAGTCCCCACTCCTTAGTAAGAACTCACAATACCCTTAACATTATAGCTGGAGGCTACAGAAATGGCTCAGCAGTTAAGAGCATTTGCTGCTCATGTAGTGTTCAACTGTCACCACAAGGTGGTTCATAACAATCAGTAACACCAGTTCCAGAGGATCTGATGCCTTTTTCTAACCTTGACAGGCACCAGGCATGCATGTCATACACATGCATGCATGTGGGCTAGACATCCATACACACAAAATAAAGTAACTTGAAAAGCAACAACAAAATCTTACAGCTGTTCCTGGAGTGCAGATTCCAAAGGAGAGCAAGACTAGCAAGAGCACTGAGAACTGAAAGTCAGATGTGTCTCAGGATGTGAGGTTGGGTGGAATAGCACACACCAGAGATAAGGTATTGGGAGCAGAAGTCACAGAGCAGTGACAATCGAATGTACCCCTTGAGACATTAAAACATATGTTGTCGTCATTGCGCCCCAGCTAGCCTTCTCAATGGTTCTGTCTGAAAAAACTCATACTGAATCCTATCCTCTGCTTTAGGAAAATGAGACTGGTATATAGACTCCCAAATACCAGAAGTGACCATGTTAGTAATTTTACATACCCGTGAAAAGATAAGGACAAAGCTTATGCTTGTAAGGTGACACTAAGTGACCCAGCTAGGCCCAGGAGAAGTGCTGTTTGCTTTCCTGGCTCCCCTAACTCTGTGAGGTCAGAGAAGGACCCTGTGGGCTTTGTGGGCCTCAGTCTGTTCACTCCTCTTTCCATGGTTTTTAGGGTGTGTTATGAACGAGCGACCTTTAGTCCAACAACCCAGACGTTCTTTCTCTCTGCCATTTGGCATGGGGTCTACCCAGGATACTATCTGACGTTTCTAACAGGCGTGCTAATGACATTAGCAGCTCGTGCTGTAAGTATTGGCATTTATATTTTATAATTCATTGAGTGAATCTCTGTTCTTTGGCTGTGATTAGCATCATCTTCCCAGGAGAAGTTAGGTATCTAATTGTGCTTGGAAGCTAATGCTCACCCCATGCAAGCCTCGACACTAACTGTACACCAGGAGAAGCCACACACCTGGCATGTGGGAAGTGCTTAAAACATCTCATGACATTTGTGAATGAGAGAAAGTAAAGATGGTTAGAATGGGTAGGTCAGAGCTTGGTGGTGGTGCATGCCTTTAATCCCATCACTAGGGAGGCAGAGTCAGGCAGATCTCTGTGAGTTCCAGGCCAGTCTAGTCTACAGAGTAAGTTCCAGAGTAACTAAGGCTGTTAAACAGTGAAACCCTGTATCAAAAAACAAAACAAAACAAAACAAAACAAAAAAACAACAAACAAATCTAAAACAAAGCAAAAACCAACAAGACAAAAAAGAATGGGTAGGTCTGTTCTTCAAAAAACATTTCTGGGGAAAAATGGTCTGTTTTTAGAAACTTTCTTAGAAACTTGAAAGGGGGAGATACTGAAATTTTATTCAAGTAATCAAATAATTTTTTGCAACAGATAAAAAAAAGCAAACAAAAATTTCTGTTTACTATGGATGTAACCCTTGAATCCTCTTTTAATTCAAAGTAGAGTTTGACCACTCCTAGGGAAGGGGATGGCCAGTTCCCAGTGGAAGATGCTGTGGATGTGGCACCATCCAGTAGAGTATTTATTTGCTGGGGGGAACCTGGAAAGGTTTGGGGAAGCAATTAAGACAGCTTCATACTATGAGAGAGAAAAGGAGAATAAATTGGTGTATTGAAATTCAACTAGTGGGAAGCAATGTGTCAAAAAGTATGCTTTAGCAAACATTATAGAGCCTTATGGGTAAAGTAGCTTCATCTAACACTGTAGCAGATACTCCTTTTGATGTACCCAAGAGATTAGCAAGAAAGAGTAACACAGGCTGTAGCTCCTGGTAGTCAGTACCAGCTGGAGTGCAGTGGGGGAAAAGATTGCATGCCTTAGTGTATTTGGGAAATGGCGGAGAAATGTAAATTAAAGCAGTGAGTTTGTGTGCATGTGAGGAGTGGATAGTTCAGGATAGGCAGATGGAAGAAAGGAAGCAGGCGGCGGTGAAGTCTCAACACTAGCCCAGAAGCTTGGTCCTATTCTGTCCCTATCATCAGAGAGTTGGCAGGTGAGGCTTCTGTCTTGTTTTCTTGGGGTGCTGAAGAGTGCACCCAGGGCCTCGAAATATAGATGAGCACCGTAGCACTGAGCTGCCTCCCCCAGACAGCTAAGGTTTTGCATCTTGGGGTGGCATGGTGCCGTCGTGCTGGAGGAAACGGGCTTGTTGGTAATAGACAACTCAAGCAGCAGGGTGAGAATACTACTCTACAGGCTTGAAGTAGTTGTGGTCACCACTGTGTTTTATATATAATGCTGATCTAAAAATGTAGTGAATCTTTTTTGTGTCTTTATTTCTTTTCAGGTGAGAAGTAACTTTAGACACTACTTCATTGAACCCCCTCAACTTAAGTTATTTTATGACATCATAACATGGGTAGCAACGCAAATAACAATAAGTTACACGGTTGTACCGTTTGTACTTCTTTCTATAAAACCATCATTCAAATTTTACAGGTAAGTGCTACTCTTCAGCTGCCTGGAGGAGTCGCTGTGTTCACAAAGAAAGTTCTGTACTAACTGAATAGAATAACAGAAAGTGTCTTAGTCAGGGTTTCTATTGCTGTGACAAAACACCATGACCAGAAAACAAGCTGGGGAGGAAAGGGTTTATTTGGCTTATACTTATGCATTCCTGTTTATTACTGAAGAAAGTCAGGACAGGAACTCATGGAGGCAGGAGCTGATGCAGAGGTCATGGAGGGGTTCTGCTTACTGGCTTGCTCACCATGGCTTGCTCAGCCTGCTTTCTTATAGAATCCAGGACCACCAGCCTCCACCTACCATGGACTGTACCATTTCCACCCTGAGATTCAAAACTTTAGCTGTCCGGGAAGGTAGCTCAGTGCTACGGTGGTTCTCTATATTTCGAGGCCCTGGGTACACTCTGCAGCACCCCAAGAAAACAATAATTGAGAAAATGCCTTACAGCTGGATCTCACGGAGGCATTCCCTCAACAGCTTCCTTCTTCTCTGATGACTCCAGTTTGTGTCAACTACACAAATAATATTGCAGCCACATTTCTGCCATTAAGTATATTATCAATTTCCATGGCACAGCTCATCCTGTTTAGCCCAAAGGTGGAAGTGTGGTTCCCTCAGTGGTACCAGCAGAGGGACCTGCCCCCACCCCAGGAAGACTTGGCTGTAGCCTAAGTGTCCAGAAAATGGCTAGAAAGGGAAAGGGGGCATGCTTTATCGATTACTAATTAGCTGGATTTTCAAGTCATAGGAAAGTATTTGCACTTACTGCCTCCCCCCACCCCCCTTCTCTGCTTGGCTGACAGCTGAAAGCCTCTGTATTTCGGAAGTCACTGTCTGAAAGTCAGTGTTTCCCGTTACTCTTCCATCTGTCCCTGCTCCACAGCATCCACTACTCCCGTGTTAACAACGTGTTTGAAATTAGAAGCTTGATTCTCTCCATTTCTGTGGGGTTTGTGACTTCAGCACAAGAATCTGTGGTCAAAGAATTAGATGCTGGCATTAGGACCAAGCTTGATAGCCACACAGGAAAGACAAATGATTGGTTAAAGTGTCCATGTCAGCAAAGTTTGTTCATTTAAAAATGTGGGTGGGTTATTGGTTGGATTGTCTGTCCCATATTTCTTTGGTCAGTCACTTTGAACTTTCAACTTTGGAAGCAGTTAAGGTCCTATCAGACTCAGCAGATTTAGGGACTGATTTTCTGGTGGTTTTCTTAAGTACAACCTGTCACACAGTGTTTGTTACCTACTGCTCACATTGTTTCAGTCTTAGTAAACTGAGTGACAGTGGCTTTGGGGAAGGCCAAGAAGGGACTCAACTCTTCTCTTGTCTGTCCAGTGTCCTCTGGTGACCCCACATGTAATTTTGTGGGTACGTTCAGACTGATGCCTCTGCTAATGAATGCCTTTTTGTTTGTGTCCTGTGTAGCCTCATGAGCCTTACAAAACATTGCAGTGTGCCTAGGCCTAAACTCGCAAGCTGGGGGTGTAATGCCGTTATTCATGCCCAGGCATACACTGTGGAAAAAGGGAGGAAAAATACGGTGGATAACCCCGTTAGCAGGGCCCTGGATGTTGGCAAAGGTGAAGCTGGTAAACCATTTTCCTTTTCCTTTTAGCTCCTGGTATTACTGCCTTCACATCTGCAGTATCTTAGTGTTGCTGTTGCTGCCGGTGAAAAAATCTCCAAGGGGAAAGAGCACACAGGAAAATGTTCGGCTCTCACGAGCCAAGAAGTTTGACGAAAGAGAAAATTCTCTAGGACAAAACAGTTTTTCCATGACAAATAATGTTTGCACTCAGAACCAAGACATTGCCTCTAGACACTTGTCACTAACACAGTGACTGGGAGAGCGCATGATGGCTGTTTCCCGCCTGTGAACAGAAACCAGTCCTGATGCCTTTCCAGAGACAAACTGGGTGGAAACGGGACAGTCTCAGAGAGGGGATTTCCTGTACACCAGATTGGAAACGGAGTGAAATAACCCTTCCCATGCCAATGTTCCTGTGGGTCACGCCTTACACAAAATCTTTCCATGTTTCAATAGGGCACTCAGACATCAGCGTATGCCCTCCAGGTCATATGTATGCCCTGTTGTTGAATGTACACTGTGTATCCCAAGGCACTGAAGAGCTGGAAAAATGATCATATGTCAATCTGGATGATTGAAAGGTTAACTGTTTCCAAATGAATGTCTTGCCTTAAACCTTCTGTTTCCTAAAATGTTGTTCCTGGATGGTATTTTCAAGTGTAGTATTGTGAGGAGACAATTTCACTATTTGATGTGCTGCCCTGCAGAGTGGGAGTGAGGGAGGAGGAGGTTAAACCGGATAGTTAAGATTGTGGGTACTTGAAAAATGCAATAAACATCTCAGTATTTGAAGAGTTTTCTTGAGGTAGCTCAGAGGGCTGCATCCATGGTAGAGCTGTGTACAGTCAGGGCTGTTAAATTACAGGTAGCTTATTCTGCTGGGAGCTTAATTACCTGGTGTCAGTTAGGGGGCTTTCAGGATGACTTTCTTAAACATAATTAAAGGTTGGCAATGTGATATTTTAGGCTTATTTTCTTAAGAAAAAAAATAGTGAGAGGGAAGATGAGATGAAGAAAGCACTGTGTGGTCCAGAGCCAGGACCAGAGGCTTCCCCTTTCGTGCCCAAGATCAGTGTGACTGTGTGGGACACAGAAAGACTAATAAGGTGGTAATACTGTGGACTTTATGAAGAAATTTCTCAAGCATAAATTACATAGAATTAGAAGAGATTATGAGTAACAGTGGTAGATTATTTGAAGATTTTGAAAGAGATCTCCAGTGATTAAGGTTATTGTATGGTTCATTGGTTTCTTGTCCTTGTCATTTTCATTGCTATTTGGGAAAGATTTAGGGGGGAAAAACTTAGTTGCTGAGCCTAAATGACATTTTTAAAAAATTAATAAATTAGTTTCTACATTCTTTAACTTCACGTATTAAAATTCTTCCGTTAAAAATCTTGTTAAGATGGGTGTTAGATTCTATCAAAACAAATACTTTTGGTGTTTTCTTCTTAGGGGCCACTCTTGACTATGTGACTGGGTATGTCTTTGATCTAACAACAGTGTGCTGTGGGCTGCAACAGCTGTAAGGGAGGGGGAGGCTATGAGGCCATGGAACCGAGCTATAGACTGTAGGTTCCGCCTTGTGAGAGAAAGGCTGGGCTTGTGGGCCTCTCTGTTATTAGACCGGTCTTTTTGTGAAATTTGTTTTGGTTTTGCCTTAAATTTTCAAATGAAATGCAAATTATCAGTCTACAATCAGTTGGGGTTTTTTTGTTTGTTTTTGTTTTGGTCACTAATACACTTGTGAGTAAAGTTAAGAAGCAACCAGCAGTGATGATGTAAAAGTTAGGGTTTTAGTGGAACAAGAAAGGTGCCTGGGTCAGTGTGGCATTCTAGGACTTTGCAGGTATGGGTGGCACATTTGCTTTTCTGAAGGCAGATTGTCTGCATCTGATTAGGAGAGCTGGCCCACCACACACACCCCCCCTTCCCAGAGAAAGGGCTGGTAAATACTTTTTCTTAGTTTCCCCACGTGTTGAAACCAACCTAGCTGTAGGATTTGAGAGGAAAGAAGGGTTGATGGATAGTGCCTGCCTGCAAATGTCTGCAATTTCATGCATACCATGGAGAATCCAATCACTATTAAAGAAAGTGATCAAACCCAAAGCCTAAAAAGACAGCCACAGGCATTTCATAAGGGAAAGCTGGAGACCCAGTAGAAACTGCTGAAGGATTGCTGTGCCTATCCAGCCACTTACAAATAACCCTCCCCCCATTTATTCCTGTTACCCAAACACATTTTATTTTTAGGCCTATACACACTTGAGTCAATGTTGCCTGTTTCCTCTCAAGGAATTTATAATCATAGTACTATCATCCAAAAAGCAAGACAATGATCATTGTTCTATTCCCAGACGATGATACACAGCACATCCAATTTGACTGATTTCTTTGTTTCAGTCTTCTATAGCTACTAGTTATATTTCTGAGATCATTTTGGGGGGGCAGGTCGAATGGCTGTCTTCTAATTTGGAGAAATAATCATAGTTATGCAATCTAAAATAAAATAAATCAAATTCTCAATTTTTCTCAAAAATTATATTCTATAAAATGAATATCTCTAGTTGGGATGTTTATAAAGATTATTTTGCTCCTACTTAGAAGGATTTAGACTAACATTTGTGCTACTGTTAATTGTGAAGAGGTCATTATAATATGTGCTTGCTGAGTTTTAACAGGGAGAACAGGTTTCAGTGTGTGTTTATATTGTTTTCCATCCCGTGAGTGTCCTGAAGTCACTCTAGAAAGGGTCAGTCTACATCATATTTATACTTCTGTTTGGTTATAAATTACTCAGGGAAAATAGAACAAAAATATTCTTCCCTCAATTTCATTTCCTTGAAACAATAATTATTAATTTGATGTGTCTCAGCTCACTGTATTTAATCAGAACTCGGCGTGCTTGATTAGCTTCTGGAATGCCCAGAATTGGAGAGAAGGCTCCATGGGCCCGATCACTGTGTCTTATGGATGACACCCATACAGGGCATTTCCACACATGCCAATTTTGAAGTCACCATCTAGAAAGTGACAATGGCTTCCTGTAAGTACTAACTGGCCTGACTGGTCCTTCTGGCTCTTGCCTGGGGGGGGCACCCTGAAACCCCCAAGCCTGTAAGGTGAAGGGCAGGTCACTGTAGGCTGCTTTACTCTATATTTTAAATGGCAGAAAGCAATTTTAAATTGCCATCCAAATAACCATAAAGGTTTTATTTTTGAAAACTAGATCAAACATTTAGGACAAATGCTTTTCCTGTTTAAAACCCATACCTCCTCAGTGTTCAACTTGTGTATTCATGAGTAAATCTGGACAGTTGTACTTATCAGATGTTCACAAGTATCAGCTCATTGATTCTAAGAGTTCTATATCATAATTGTCACATTCTTGAAAGAGTAGACATGTCTAGAATAATTGCCACTACTTTGTCCACTGAGGATTGATTGGCTCAAACACATAGTTACAAAACAGTATTTTATTCATTCTTTAATAGTCTACCCTGGCTGAAATTCAACACACCCAGTTTAACCTAGGTGCAGAATTCTAGATTACACTGTGACTGTAACCTTACCTGTCTCGAGGATCATATATACCTGTTACACTCTACTGGTGGCATCTAAGGAATGGCACTTGCCTTGGATGCTAAATTTCTGCTTCCCACTGCCCTTGGAAAAGTGAGTTTGTATCAGAGAGGCTTCTGAATGCAAAAGGAAGAGACTTGCAGCTAAAACAAATCCACTCGACGGATTAGGATGTAGCCATTCTCTACAGTGATTTTTCTGTAACACCTCGTATTCAAATCTCTTTGTAGAGAGTGACTCTCTTTACAGAGGAAAATTCAAAACGGGATTTCCCACGTTGATATTTTGTAGGGATGCTCTTGTAATCAATGCCTCAGCTGCTTTTTAAGGCTCTTGTTGTACAGAGGGTGCAGCCCATTACGTTTTAATTAGTAGGCTGCTGAATAATGTTTTGTATGTTCTCAAATAACAATTTATTTTAATAGGTTTTTTTTTTTTAACACAATGCAAATTCCAGTGAAGAGCTGACAAGATGCTCCATAGGTCAGTGATTGGGGAGACTCTGTTAAACAACCTAATGACGCATTTATACGCCAGCTAATTTCTCTTGCCTTTAAAACTGGTGGTGACTCAATGGCATTTTTAGAAAGCAAGGGGCAGCCTATCTGTTCCAGAAACAGCACGTCAAAGATCTTTGTAAACCACTGTCTGACACTGATCCAGTGATACATGGCCACCTCTACCTGTGCTCACTGTAACTAGCATGGAATAGAATGTAAAGCCAAAAGTCACAGAGCAAGGGAAAGTCAAATGACTAAGCAGTTTTTCGGGCGAGTGCCTGGAATGGAAGAGTGGCTGTTTGCTGCCCATTGCCACCTGTGTGTCACGGCTCCCTGCAAGGGCTGTGTTTTGGGCTAACTTATTTGGGAGGTTGTTTTGTTAGTGATCATCTCTGTTCATTCGTGGGGCGGGGAAGACACATGTAGAGTGATTGTCAGACTTAAAATATGCCTCTTTATCTCATTTTAAATGTCTTTGGTTCTGTCCACACCCATCTGTCAGCGAAGTCCATTCGCTGCTGACTTGATCACACACAAAAAAGACTCCTGTGTGGAATGAAAACACAATCTCATCTGTCTTCTGTCACCTTGACGTACATGAAGGCGTCTCCACACCCGAAGGAGTGCCGTGTGAGGCAATAGGAGCGAAAGGGACACAGACGTGACGTGAAAGTCCCATCATGTTAAGGTGAAGGCCTGGCTTCAAATCTGCCTTCCCTTCCAGCTGAGGGCCGGCAGGGTCCTCCTGACCCGAGAGGCCCTCGCCTCTCACAGTCACTGTTCGTTCACAGTATTTCCCTTTGCCTTCCCAGGTGGAGAATATCATATGGTGGTCTGTGCTTTGTCTGTTTTTGTTTTTATTATTCCAAAATATTTTTTTAAAGAAGTGTTATTTTTCAACCGATCCAGAAATCAGTTCTCAGTGTACAGTGAATTGAAACCATCACTGTGTCAGCCAAGCTGTGCTGTGATGAGCCGTAGCCACTCTTGTTAGCCCCCTGTCCTCAGAGCTGCACAGTGGCTTATTGCTGGCTTTTAAAGGTATTTTTAACTTACATGTTTTTTTATTTTCTTATTTATGTGTCTTTAAAACCAATTAAACAGTAATTTAAAAGAACCCATGTATGTTTGCTTATTTCAGAGGTTAAATCCAATCTTTGGGTAGATAAACCCAGAGAACAATCTCATGAGCAAATGCTTTTTGTCATTGATTCTTTCAATTACTCAAACATTATTCCAGTTAAGTTTTTATTATTATGTATGGGGAGGTACACGCGACATGTTGCTTGTATGGCCAGAGGACAATATGGAGTCTGTTCTCCCTTAATGTGGGTTGTGGCCATTGACCTTGGGTCTTAAGACTTCCCCCTCTGAGCCATCTCAATGGCCCGTAAGTGTTAAAAAAACAACAACTGAAACCACTCTAAGATGGTATGAAGATCTATTAGCCTACAACAGACTAATCATTTCAGAAGGCTTCAGTTTTCCTAGTTTGGAAGGAAGAGCCGACTTTAGGGCGCCCTGGCTACCTCTCTCCCACCATGCCTGTCCTGACTTGGCTTTTGCTTCTGAGAAGCTGTGCCGAGTTCTCACTGGATAAGCAGTTTCTCTATCACAGTGACTTGTCGGGCCTTCAGTGAGTTCTTGAGGTATTTTCTTGATTCTGCTGTGGGGGAAATATGTTAACTTTTATTTTTAAAAAATCATTTTATGTGTATGGTGTTTTGTCTGCACTACATGAGTGCCTTAGTTACCTTCCAAAGTATGTATGGCAGATCCTTTAAGGACTACATCACTGTCTAAGTGTAAAGGGAGAAAGGGTCTTGGATGAGCTATGGTGTGTAGCATTGTGAGCAAAGCCTTAGAGCCCCCCTTGCTATCCCCACCCAGCACAAAGTGCCTGTGCAGTGGGGGATGGAGAGCTGGGGGAGTATGGATACTCCCATGAGGCCTCGGCTCCTCTTTGCTGGACTGGTATGCTGGGATAAGTGCCTATCTGGAGGGGGGAAAGAAAAAGCTAGGTCAAGGATTCTCCAGTGTGTTAGCCATAGTAGACTAGGAACAGCAGGAATTGAGAAATTTTTTTGCATGCAAGATGCTGACCTATTTAACAGTAATTTTCCCCCGGTTAGGAACAGGAATAGTGGGGAAATTGTTAGGCCTTTCATTGTTTAAAAGAAGCTCAAGCCTGTAGGCACAGAACACACCCGCATTCCCGCTGCTTGGTTTGAACAGATGTTCCTGCTTTTAGCACAGCAGACTCCTGTTTTTTCTTGAGGGCTA